GAGGTTGGGTGGTTTCTTTTGCCACCTCTCTAGGCAACTTGTTCCTGTTCTTCACTCCTCCCATGGGGAAATTTTTTCCTTCCAGTGTAGTTAATGACTGCTGTATCCTATCCTCCTATCCTGCATTTCAGGACAGAGCCTGGCTCTATTTTCTCAGTAGTCTTGTAAGTATTGAAGGCTTTTATCAATTTATGCAGAAGCTGTCTCTTCTCCAGGCTAAGCAAGCCCATCTCCCCCAGTTTCTACTCACAGGGCAAAGTGCTGCAGACTCCTGATCATCCTGGTGGCCTCCCCTGGACTCACAAGTTTATCAGCATTTTCTTGCACTGGGGGGTGCAAAATTGGATGTGCTATCCCCAGCTTTCCTTTCCAGTTTTCTCCAGAAACTTCACACTGGATCGTTCCTCAGACTAAAGAATGGAAACATGGAGCATGTCACTGGTCTCAGTACAAAAGTTATTCCAAGAAGTCTGTCTGTTTGTGACTCTACTCTCTTTTTATTACTCTCCCATCTTCATCCTAGCACCAGGAAATGGTATCCTCTGCACTGTGACATGGTGTAGAGACATCTTCTCTCTGCCTGCTAAGTAGCAAGGACAGCAGACTGTGTTTATTAGTGTGACTGTCTTTCCTGATACCTCATAGCTTGACCTTGGAGGTCACTTCCTGCAATCCCTGCTTGGGAATTGGGTTGCTCCAGGCCTTGTTCAGATGAGCTAGGAAGATCTCTAAGGCTACAGATCCTGTGGCCTCACTAGGTCCTTCTTCCAGTAGTTGAGTATCCTTCCAGGGAAAATGGGATGCCTCTGATCTCCAGGTATTGCCATATTGCCATATACATCCATTGCCTTGATGCTCTCCTTGTGTACCTTCAAAGAGTTTGCCTCCATCTTCTCTGTGCCTTCATGCTATGTAGTTGAAGGGCAGCCAGAGACTGGACAGATTGTTTTCTTTCCAGCTCTCCTCAGATTAGCTGTGCTACTGTCTCCTCATCTCATGTCTGCTTTTGGACTCATTCTGTGGGGCCAGCATCTTACTTTAACCTGGCCTGTTCTGGAGAGCTCAGATTGGACATACTGTTGAGACATCTTCATGGCGATATTTCCTCTGTTTTAAGAGAAGCTTGAGAAAGGTTTTTTGGGGGTCACAGAGGTGTCTACCAGTTCCATTGGGCTGGACATGAGAGGAAAAGCCTTCCTCCCAGTCTGTTGTTAAAAGCCTGGTGTTCTCTCCCATTTCTGAGCATTAGTAAGCCACTAATGCAAGTAAGACTTGCGTGCAAGGGTGCATCTAATTGCTTACTGGGCTGGGCATGCCTTTGAGGAAGGCTGCAAGCTTCTGAGTAGATGATGGAAATTTCACTTCTCCCACATTTCTCAGAGGTTTCTTGACCATTAACCAGCCTTTCTGGAGCTTGTCTTAGTGGTACCACTGTTACCAAAAATCGGTAGAAATAAAAACTCCTTAACGCTAATGTAGCATTAAGAAGCAGACATTCTTTATTCAGCCAGATGCATGAGGGGATATCTCCTCTGAAATATTGTGCATACTGACTACAAAATAAACTCCTGTTTAGATACTATATTTTACATATATAGTCACTGATTCTTCCCCGAACAAACATACATATAATAATCATTTCCCTCAAATCAGTAACATACTTTCTCTCCCTTTTACACATATGTTCTTCTCTCCTGGGGATCTCTTTGGTTGTCCCTGGTGGTTGGTGACTCCCAAAGTCATACTTGACTGCCTGATCAAGTGGTAAAAGTTGGCCCAACTGGGCTGGTTGCTTTCCAGTTCTTCTTACAGAATAGGCATTGTGCAGTTCCACAGGCCAGTGGGTTTTGAAGAATAGGCATTGTGTTAGCCCACCAGGTGCAGACAATTTTTCATCTGGCAGCACTTCAGCTATCTTTTGTGGTGCATAGCTGGAGTTATGTAGATGGTACTTTTGGGCATGGGAAGGATTGTAAGTTCTCTGTGAACACCAAGTTCCAGTTCCCACTGCTGTTTCAGGCAGGCTTAGGACTGAGGCCAATGCATATGGCTAGGGGCTTATCCTCTAACCCCTTCTGTTCTTGGTGGCAAATCATCAGGCATGAAGAGTTCAGCTTGTTGAAGATCTGCTCCCCTCTGGTTAGAGGGCAACTCTTTGCCTTTTACTTCATTTTATCAGGCTTTCTTCAAGATGTAGTAGTGTAGACAGCTTGTTCATGCTTGGATTGTCCATGCTTGCCCTGCAGGCCTGAGTCCAAGACCTGCTTATTCTGCATGCTAAAGAACTGGCAATTTCTACCATTTTATGCAGCCTGAGATTCCAGAGGTGCTTTTCTCTGCTTTTATCACCAACCATTTAACAGCATGAGGAGTGGATGGCTCATTCTAGGCAGTTCTTGTCAGCATGAACACAACCTATTTTTTCCTTTTCTACTCTCTCAGCCCCATTCCTTTAGTGACAGCTGTTAAAATGCAAACAATCAGTTGGTCTGAATGTAAAGTGTAATGTTTTCTCTTGACTGCTGTAGAAGTTCATGTGGATACTGCTGGACTCTATAGCCTTTATGTTTCTGGTGGGCTTGATTCCTTATTGGGATAAACACTGAGAAGAGTGCTTATGATGTTTTCCAGAAGGTCCCAGAATGAGTCTGCTTGTTATTTTTCATAGAAAGGAGTGATCCTCATCAACTAAACAGCAGGAGACTTGGGCAGCTGTGGCTGATTTCCACAAACTGTGTTCCAAAGAGCATTTTATTTTTGCTTCAGGCTAAGAACTAGAAAAATTATGACACAAGCATAATAATTTTCATTGAGCTGAAGTATCTGTTAGCATCCTAAATACTTGTGTTCCTAGGGTTGGTGTGAGAAAAACTCCTTTTATACCCGCATAGGTTCAGCCCCTCTTGCTGATTTCCTCTATTGTTTTCTTCCACCGTAGGAGGACAGAGCATTTTTGTCTTCATGCAGCATCTTTCTAGAAAGACCCAGAGCTGTAGGAGGGCCTGTTGCAGGACAGCATGCTCCCTGTGCTGAGTGGCTTCAGTGCAGTGCTGCCCCATGTCTCTGCTCAGGGTGTCTGCTTTGAGGCCACCTGCATGGTGTTCTCTGAACTTTGACAAATTTGCGAAGCGTTCAGCACTAGCACAGTGATGAAATAAATGTAGATGTGATGTAGAAATGTCTGTGAGACATTTCTACAGCTGTCGCCTGGCCAGAGGAGTTCTCAGTTCTTCTGCCAGGTGACAATGAATGGATCCTCAGGACCAGGATGAAGAGGGCCAGTAGAGCAGGAGAGGATTGAGCTTGGATCAATCACTGCTATAATATCATAGAATTATTATATCTTTTGGGACTCAGATTTGCTGGCTCCTGCTCAAAGTTTATTAAGAGGCAAGGTCTGCAATATCAATGGTTTGCTTCTTCCTCTTGGGAATAACTTTTCATAATTTTGCTGACAGATCTAGCAGTTGGATTGCCAAATTTAAAGAAACCCTGATAGGACTGCTGTCTAAAGATGGAACATAAAGAGGAGTTTTCAAGTCCACAGAAAAGTAAAGATACAAATGACAATGGCAGGCATTCAAAAAAGCCAGGTGCATTCCCATTCACTACAAAGGGAATAGTAATTCCAAGGCAGTTAATAGCTATTGGTAAATTCCAAATTAGCTCCTTCTCAGGAATCTCACAAAGACCCATCCTGTGCAATTCAGGTTAAAATCTGGGACATCCCCAATCAGTTGCTAAAAAGAAACATTACCACTCCGAAGAAAGAACTTCTTGGGCACGCTCGAAGAGTCGGTCTGATTGAATGGCATCCCACGGCTGAGAACATTCTCTTCAGCTCTGGCTATGACTACAAGGTGGGTGTGTGCTCCTAGGACACCCTGTTTGGCTGAGTGTTTTGAAATTTGTTTTAATTTCAAGCTGTAAGATGGTACTAAAGAGTTTGGAAGCTTTCTTCAGGGGGAAATTCCACGGTGACCCAAAGGCAAAAGGATATTGCTAGACGTTCAAAAGGACTGTCTAATTTTCCAGTCTTCTGATGAACTTCAGTCTACTCTGCACTTCTCATTTACTGAATTGGATACAGCATGCAATCCCATTCACTTTTCTTTGTGCTAGTGCATATATCTGCACTGATGTTGTCTACTTTTATGTATAAAATGTGATTGCAAAGGAAATTAAAATATTGGACATTCTTAGCTGACACTGATACATTGCTGTTAGTATCAGGAATTATTTTAAGTGCTGGAGAGCAATCACTTAAGGTGGTAAGACCTATTCATGTAGAGAAAAGATGAATAGAATACACAGAGTGCCTGGTGTGTGAGGCAGCAAAGGGCTGATTTTTTTATTATTTTTGCTCCAGATAATGATCTGGAACCTTGATGTCAAGGATGCTGTTCTTTCAAAGCCAGTGAAGATTCTTGATGCTCACAAAGATGTGGTCCTCTCCATGTCATTCAACACAGATGGCAGTCTCCTTGCCACTGCTTGCAGGGACAAAAAGATACGTGTGATAGACCCTCGTGCTGGAACAGTCCTGCAGGTAGGTTGGGTTCAGAGGTTTATGGTCCATCTGATCTTGCCTCTTGGAGTGTTTCCTCTCTTGGGTAGCTTCATTGTCATAAAAGACAATGCATCTGTGCCTGTATTGCCCAAGGCTGTTCTCTTCTACTTTCCATGGAACGTTTACTGTCATGGTTGAAAACAGGGATTTTCTATATTGATCTTGTGTTCCTTGCTCCTTAAAACCTTACTTGGATTGTATTATTTTCATAGGTACCTCCTTCAGCCCTCTGAGGGACATCATGGGAGGGAATGTAGAGATCAGGTGGACAGGTGGATACAAGTGTACATTTGTCCAAATGATCGAGGTTGTTCTTTTTCCCTGGATTTTGTTGGCTAGGTGAAACTGATTGCGCAGGTTTGTGTACACAGAAAGTCGTGCCTGCAACTATTAGAGACTGCTGTCTTGCAAATACGTGAATCAATAGTTAAGGAGGTTGGCTCAGCTGGTCAGAGCAGGGTGCTGATAACACTAGGATTGTGGGTTTAATCCCCATATGGGCAATTCGCTTAAGAGTTGGACTTGATGATCTTTGTGTGTCCCTTTCAACTCAGAATATTCTGTGATCTGTTGTTGAGCTTTTGGGAATGATTCTGAAGAGTTTAGGCCACTTCTTTTCAGATGCCTGTGAAATCCTGCTCACCGTAGTTCAGCTGGGCTGAGCAGATCTTTCAGATGTGAGTGAATGAGAGTTGTCACGTAACATGAAATGTAGCTATGTAACAGGTGTTGTCTTACTCATGCAATGCCCTTTCTCTTCTACAGGAAGGAAGCTACAAGTCTCACAAAGTCAATAAAGTCTTATTCCTTGGAAACATGAAAAAGCTGTTTTCTACTGGAACGTCTGGGTGGAATAATAGGCAAATTGCATTATGGGATCAAGTGAGTTGGACCAAAAATCTTAACCATACCAGCTTCAGTTTTCTCTCTTTTGCTGTCACTTTAACTTTCCACCTGCCACATACACAAGAATTGATTTATAACAGCAATTCAGAAGTGATCTGTCAGATTCCTTAAGGGTATATAGGTCTTACTGCTGTGAGACCTAACAGAGTTTCTGGAGAAGTTCTCAACATAGAAGCCTAAGAGAACAAAGTGAATGCTGAACCCATGTCCTGGTTTCGGCTGGGATAGAATTAATTTTCTTCTTAGTAGTTGGCACAAGATTGTGTTTTGGATTTAGTATTGGAAGCACACTGACATTTGGGGTGTTGCTAAGTCGTGCTTACCCTAAGTCAAAGACTTTTCAGTGTCTCATGCTCTGCCAGTGTGCAGGTGCACGAGAAACCGGGAGGGAGGATATCCAGGACAGCTGATCTGAACTGGCCAAAGGGATATTCTATACCATAGAACGTCATGCTCAACTGGGGGGAGTTGGCCAGGAGCCATGGATTGCTACTCAGGGACTGGTTGGGCATTGGTCAGCGAGTGGTGAGTGGTTGTGTTGTCCATCACTTATTTTTCTTGAGTTTTATTCCTCTCTGTCCCTTTTCTTTTCATTACAATTGTTATTGTTCTGTATTTTGCTTTTTTTTTTTTAATTACTGAACTGTTCTTATCTCAACCATGGGTTTACCTTTTTCTGATTCTCTTCCCCATCCTACCAAGGGGAAGTGAGCAAATGGCTGTGTGATACTTAGTTGCTGACTAAGGTTAAACCACAGCAGTCCACTGCAAGAAGAAATTGTTCAAAGGACAATGTGGTGTGGTTAATGTGTTCTGACTTAATGTGGCTCTTACTGGTCTTACTGGTACTGAGGTAGTCCTTAATTGGTCATTGCCAAGACATAATCTCCTGTCAGGATGGCTGCTAGTCTTATGAAACTCTGCTCTCATCTATCCTTTCAAATGCAGTGAGATGTTTTTATTTTGTCAGCATCTAAATATGCCTCTTTGCATCAACCATCATGCAGCACAATCTTTTGTCTCTTTGTAGTGCTGTCATGATTTGTTACCAGACAAAGCTGGTAGACCAGGCTATGATTTGCTATGTTCTGGCTATGTTTGGACATGGCTTCTTTGCACATGTGGCAGGGAAAGCACTATGCTGCTGTCTGAAGGTTTTCCACAATGCTAAGCAGTGCTGTGACACTACATGGGTGTCATGTTAGGGTTTTAAATGCTTGGTTTAAGAAAACAGTGGGAAGGTCTGTGAGGCAAGGTATGTAAAGCCTCCTTAGAACAGGGATTGGCACAGGGCTTGCCTAGCAGGCCTCTTTCTCAGGTCCACACCCATCTTTGCATCTAAACAGAAGCTCTGGCTTACTGCAGCCTGCAGCTGGTCAGTTCTGCAGGAGAAAATGTGCGTTAACCCTGTGCTAAATACATGTTCATGTATTTAGAGAATCATGAAAATCGCCACGTAACAGTCTGCCTTGTCATTCCTCCCAAAATCACTCCCTTCAGCAGTGCAGGGATAGCTTTGTACAAGACATGCCAGCTTTGCATATGGAGTGGTGTGCTGTGTCCTCCTCCATGGCTTACAGGCCAGTGGGAGATTCTGTCCTTGCAACAGGCATCTCCCCTCTGTGCAGTGCTGACGCTGCTTGGCTGATGGAGACTGCTCTTGTGGGTGGTGCAACATTGTGAAAGTACTGCCTTGACTAGAAGTTTTGAGAGAACATGGGTAAAATTCAGTGTGAATTTTACACCAGTGATGCAGGTGTACCCTGAAGGCCCCTTCATCTCCTCAGGTCTGGCCCATGTAGAGGCAGGCAATTTTCCTTACTGAATCGACCCTGAAATGCCATCAGATGCCTGAGGTGTTACAGTGGTAGGAGCTGATGTCCTGCCCTCAGTCAAGGTGTGGGACAGAGCACCCATTTCCCACCCACAGAGCTTTGCAGCAGTCTGTGCATGGCCCCTTGCTCAGGGCTGTGGGTCATTACAGAGCTCTGCTCATATGCCACTGCCAGGTGGGGCTCAGGTGAGGTGTCCTGGACTTCAGGTGACTGACAGGTGATTGTAGCTGACTCTTTTTCCTGTGTCCTGCCCAGAATGACCTTTCTGTGCCTTTACTGGAGGAGGATCTGGATGGCTGTTCAGGACTGCTGTTTCCCATCTATGATTCTGACACACACATGCTTTATGTGGTAGGAAAGGTAAGTGCTTTCCACATCAGCAAGTGCAGGCCTGTTTGATTCTGCTGTCAGCCTGTGTTGTGACATACTGAGGTCAAAGATGCTCCTGAAGCATGTTAACCTAAGGATATGAGCAGATGGGGTGGGGCCAGAGAGTGCTTCATCATCAGGCCACATGCTTACAGATGTTTATTGTGGAGAGGTACACAGCTGGGTCCTAACCTTCCCATATAGGAATTTGAGGGTAAACATTTGGTTCATTGTTGATCCTGCATGGCTTCTTGGGCCAGGAATTCTTCTCAGACTGTCATGCTGAATGGCAAAGTCTGGCTGATGTTGATTTTCTTTGCCTTTAGGGTGATGGAAACATACGGTACTATGAGATAAGCCCTGAGAAACCATACCTGAACTACCTGATGGAATATCGTTCTCACTCACCACAGAAGGGAATTGGTAAGTGGCAGAATGTCTAATGTTACAAGAGGTTTGTGACTTATTTATTTTAGAGGCTCTCAGAGTCTAAGACTATCCAAAATATCATTTAGAAAAGAGAATGAATGGGTCAGGTTCTTCCACACAGGTTTACAGGCGCTTACAGTCAGCTTGGCCCAGCTCACACAAATATGACAGGTGGTATTACAGAGCTTAGAAAGGGCCCTTCTGACCAGCAGAGCATGGGTTGGAAGTTTTACAGGTCACTGCTACATCTCCTCTCACATACCTGGGCAAGGTGGAAAGGAGGATATTCTGCATTTCAAGGTGGAGAATGCTCCTTGCCATTTGTCAGTCTGCTTCAAGGTTTTTGTCTTTGAGCTCTATTTCCATAATTCCCACTCTGTGATTTCTCTGGTAACAGATGCTTCACAGCTTAATGTCTTTAATCTTTTGATTGAAGTCTACCTTCTTTTTTACTTACGTTTCCTATTTGGAAATAGATCTACTGTGATTAAGTCATCTCTCCTCCCTTGGAGACCCTTGCTTATAAACCTGTCTGTGTACTACCCACTTTTTAACTAATTCAAGTCACAGAATTTAGCTTTCAGCCCTCAGACATTATTGTTAACCCTTTCTTGAACCTTTTACAGCATATTCTATGAGTCATATTCCTCTACATGTTTCTAGATCATTAGCCCTCCACATTACCTGTGGACACTCCTGCTCTTAGAGGACATTGGTACAGATATTACAGCACTGAATTTTGTGCCTGTAGGTTGCCTTCAGAAAAAATTAAAAGGAATATATTATTTAAAACTTAACTGTAAGGATCTCCTCATTATTCAGTTTTTATAATCCTTCCAGTACAACATTCTTATTTCTCATTGTCATAGTCTCTTTAAAAATTATTTAATGGAAAGGAAGTGTACAAGTGTTTTTAAAGGGCCTAAGTGAATCATGTCTACTTCCCTAACCTCCTTTGTTCAGCTGATCAAGCATACTGTTAAGATTATTGTACAAAACTTCCTTTTCCATATTACCAAAACAAAATACTGTGTGGAGGAATGGAGTTTAGGTTCAGTTTTAGATGAATGCATTATGTAAGGAGCAACAGGCCTGCACATAGAATCTACTACTTAATGGAGTCACTGGGTATTAGTAGAAAACTAAGCTTGGGTGCCATGAAACAAGGTCTATGAGCATAGGGAATCTCTTTTGTTAAGGGAATTGACATGGATATAGCTTTAGGCTGTACAAACTAATGGGAGAGAAACTCACTGAGGTTATCAGGTAGTTAGAGACTTTGTGTGGCTTAGCCACTCCCTAAAACACAAATGGACAGAATAGATATTCACAGCCTTCCCATTCTCATTTCTGTTTTGGGACAGTGTTGGGGGAGGATACTTGGCCTGGAAGGTATTTCAGCCATATATAGCTATTCTGGTTGTTTAGGTGTCCTGAAACCCCTTCCTAGTGATCCTGATACTCTAATCCTGTGGCATCACCTGCCAGAAAACCACACACCATGTAGGTAACAACATGATCTGACAGAAAAAAAAAAAAAAATTTAGTCTTCTCATTTGTGCCACTGAGCCAGTTTAGGATGCAGACCTCAAACCATGCTGATGTGGTACTGATGCTATGGCTCCTTTCGTTGTTGGATGACCCTTTTCACATGGCTAATGATACTAACTTTCCTAAGGAGATTTATACTCTGTTTCATGCTCTTCCCCTAGGAATGATGCCAAAGAGAGGTCTTGATGTGGCAGCTTGTGAAATTTTCCGTTTCTACAAACTGATTCCAACTAAAAGCCTGATTGAGCCCATCTCCATGATTGTGCCTCGACGGGTAGGTCAGCCTCAGGTCATGTTCATCTGAGGCAAATATCAGTGGAAAAATGAGGGCACTACTTCATTTTTCTCTCTGTGACTCTTGGGGCAGGAGAGCAGGTAGAACAGGAGATTTTCTCTCTCCTGGCATGAGGGACA